GGACATGAATCAGTCTCCTTCTTAGCAGACTGAACAAGGACGTTTTGGCCAAAAGCATTTCACTAGCAGTTTTAATATGAAGCTTTTATGTCATTGTGTTCATATACACTGTCAGTGCTCTTCATAACATGCAATACTCACTTAATGTGCTATATTTAACCTATTTAAAAGATGTAAGTACAGGGTCGAATCTTCAGTAATTTCTTAAAATTATATTGTTTTTTTCAGTGACAGCTCAATTTTCCTTTTACGTGTAATACTTCAGGAAAATATTGTGTTGTAAAATAAGCGTGAGGTTTTTTTGTAACAGAACAAATTTTCTGTTTTGGGCTTGGAAACGTCCTCCCCCTCTATCTTAAGTAGTGTTCAGTTTATAAAAAAATATAAAATGAGCTAAAAGATAAATATTTCCAAAATGTGAAATGTTTGTACAAGTGTTTATTATGTGCTAGGATATAAGTAATTTATACACATTATCAACTGTTACAAAACCTTAGCAGTAGAGGTGTTGTTATTCACAACATGTGCTCACAGTTATCACACATGAGAACTCCAAGAACTCAAAGAATTTTTTGTAGACCACTTAAATTTTATAGCAAATAACACTCATATTCCCTAAAAAATGAGAAATTGAGTTGTAGGGTTTTCGTGGCATCCCCATTATAATAAATCAGTCTGCTTACTCTCCTCAGACTCTCCAGTGGGAAACTTTCTACATCCACCTTAAGTGCTCATTGGTCGGGACTAAAACTGTGTATCTCATACAAATGTCTCTTATATGAGTATTAGGAGGAAGAACATGAAGTTTTCCACTTAATAGCATGGAAGTGATCAGCCAGGTTTATCACAAACACAGAGAATTTGTTTCTAAAGTCTTTTCTCCTGGATAATAAAAACAGTATTTTAAAGAAGGTCTCTGACTAACACACATGGTCATATTGAAATTTTTATAAAATATCCGGTGAAAAAATATATTATGCTCCCTATTTATATACTGGGAGGGAATCACATTCTTATTTGAAGAACAGTATATAATCTTAAATTTTTGTAGCTTACCACTGAAATGCCTGTGAGAGATGAAATTGCCAAGTGTGTGGACTCTGAACAGTGAACTCCATTTAAGCTCCGATATTTTGGTTGGATATTTGAACATTTCCCACGGTACAGAATATATTTTCTTTCCTTTAACCTTACCTTTGCTAGAGATCACCGCCTTTATGAGAAAAAGTCATGAGGTGAACATTGTACCATGTGCTTGTTGGAACTAGAAAATGGATGAGAAAATTTATCTGGCTGTTGTGTTTGGAAAAGGAAGTGTTTATAGCTTGAAATATATTACATATCACTATATAATGACAGGCACCAAAAGTGGGAAGCTGAGAGCAAAAATCAAAGGTGGCAACTCCAGGAAGGTCCATTAAGAGCTCTAAATAGGTCAACTTGAGCCTGATAGGGTTGGGTCCTAGCTGACTAAGAGTCAGGTTCTCTCTGAAAGGGCTCCCAGTGAAAAGACGAGGTGACTGGAACTGCCCTGTTCTGAACAGTACCTTTGATGTGGAAAATCTGTTTTAGTGGTTACCAAGAGATCACCAAGGGAATGGTTGTGTTGTGCTGGGAGACAAAGGAGGCCCAATGCAGTATATGTGATCAGAGCGTAGGTGTTTGTGTTGGCCTCTTCTGTTTCAGCCTAACCTGAGGAGAGGAAGATGGGTAAGGGACATTGACAGATGTTAGGAATTGAACCACTGGTTTGAATCCTGAGAGTTGTTATCTTGAATGATTCTTCACTGTGAGAAAACAAATCATATAATGATGCCAAGAGAGAAATTTGGGAGCAGAATTTGTGAGGATGAAGCAATGTTCTATAGAATCTGTTCCCTGGGGTTGGAATGAAAACCTGACTTTTGTCAAAACAATCAGCATTAATCCGTTGGCTTGGGTAAGACCTGGTTGATGTACAGGGCAGCACTATCACTGTACAGGCAAAGGTTTTATATTACTTGCTCAGCCTGGAGTATGAAGTTAGCAATGATGTTGGACCCCATAATGTAACCATAATTAGCTTGCCGTCCACAGATTCAGAGGAGGTTAAGTATCATGACACTGAATGTGAGAATCCATTCATGATACCTGAGATCCAATATGGCTGACATAGATGGGATCTGTCCATGGTGCTCATCTTTGAGTGATTTAGTGCTACAGAGCCGAGCACAGCTCCTTCAAGGACTGATGATGTCATGCTGTACTGGGTAAAGACAGATGCAACAGGAAGGAAGCTGAAGAGAGTCCAAGGTGTTAGATCCGGGTGAATCTGTTCAGAGCTCACAACAGATGAACTCATGCCCTGAGGGGCAAAGTCACAACTGATTGAGGGTGAGGCTCACTATGATCCTCAAACTACCACACACATGAGGACAAGATGGATTAAAGCAATGCTTTGGCACGGACCCATGTGGTAGAGAGTCATCGAACTGAGAAGGTGGTGAACTGGGGAGCATCTTGGTGTAGTTGGAAGAAAAAGAGGCTATGCATGAAGTACCTGGCCAGACTGAGGATCTTTTGCAAAATTCCATGCTTTGGTCCTTACTTGAGCAAGAAATAAGAGAAGTGGCAATTAGGTAATGGTAGAAAGTTGAACAACGGTTTTAATTTCTTGACATCTCTTTCTTCTATATTTCTGGGAAAAGAAGACCCTAATGATCAGTTCATTTATGTTTTTATCATCTTCTAAGGGTACTAAATTTTATTTTAAAATGCTTCCTAGATGAAAGGCAGTGGCACCTGTTCTGGTGGTGATACCTGGTTTTACATTTCTTGAATAAAATGCATGTGAAATAAAACCAAGATGGAGATACCTCACTCCATTGGAGAAGAAAAAAATTCATGCCTTTCTTGGGCAACGTTTGACACCTTCTCATCATGGTGATAATGTACTTCTATAGGCTTCATACATTGCAGATGTGTAAGGCAGCAGAGTCTCAGCCAGCACTCCTGTCTATGAACACATTCTCTTAGAAGGCTGTATTATCCCAACTTCCTCTTAATCCAGCCTTAAACTGTCTTTCAGTCATTCTTCAGTGCCCCATTCCACTAATATAAGAAGGGTGAGCAAGACAGAGAGGGATGTCCAGCTCACTGTGGAAGACCCTAGACAGCTCTGCATCTTGATGACCCTACCTCTTTCTGGGTCCCAAGTTTATCTTATATCCAACAGCAGTAGGATTTGAGGTGAGGCACTTCATGCAAACCAGTGACTTCACTGAATGTTTAAGCCCCAGTGTGGGGCCTACTATGAGCTCTACTTGGAAAGTCTTTCTGGGAGAGGACAGATCTGGGTAGAGGACAGTATTGCAGTTCTCAAGATTTTGTGAGAACATACTAGCTTGGCCTCTTTGAGTAAGCTTCAACCATTCAGATCAGTGATATGACATGGTTCCCAGTTAGGATCCCCATCATAGTTTGCTCAGTTCCTGCCCTCAGTATCTCTCCCACTGAAGGCACATGCATTGTTTTCTTCTCTGTCCAGTTTATCTTCACCATGTCCTTCCAGGATGTACCTAAATCCATTGTCTATACACAGCCCTGTTAAAGTTTGAGTTACTTGTTTCACATAACAGGACTGTGCAAGCTGCATCTCAGAGATGCATAGGCTGGAGAAGGAAGTGCATGACAGGATACAATGACCCTATTAATCATGTGATTTCTCCAGAAACTTAAGGGAAAACTCCATGCCCATATCTGGCACAAGACTCCATTCCTACCATTGCATGTTTTTGCACTCTCTTGATTCTGTGTGTCCTCCACAAAGTGTCACAGTAGACAGTCTCCAGTTATGCTTTGCCCCAGTTCTGTACCTGGCTTTCCTGTTCTCTGAACCCCTTCCTCACATCATAGGTTTTGCAATTGAGTTTTCTTTTTGTTTATACCTGGGATATCAGAAGTCATCATGATGTCCTTGCAGAGAGCCCACAATGCATAAAGCTGAGTCAATTCAAAAGACTGACCTGCCTAGAACAATCAAAGTTGAACTTTCTTATCATGGCAGCCCCTCGCCTTCCTTGAAGAATCCCTTTTATGGTGCTAATCCTTAATATCTGTAAATGTCAAATTTTATTCTCACAATTCATCATGGGCAGATTCAGAAACAATTTCCAGAAAATTGTCATGAATGTTCTTTTCATAATCTTAAAAATGGCCTTTGCATCTGTTAGGTAATCTCCTCTTAGATCCCATCCCACAACACTTTTAACAAGTGTTGTCTTAAGGGATTAGTGAATTAGACATGGCAGAACTCAGGGCTTCACAAGCACAGAATCATGCAGGAAATCATAAAAGACATCTGTCCTAGAGGCTGTCCATTAAGTAAGATATTGATTTAGGCTACATTACACTTTTTTGTTCTTCTTTTTCTTATATAGTGCAATGTATTTCAGTATTATCACCATGAAACAATTTGCGTGGGTGGTGAGATTAGCCTTAGGAATTTGTGAAATTCAGCAGTTGTGTACCCTAGAAAAACTTCATTAATGCATTTCACAAAGTGTGTTCAAAGATTCAGTATTGGGCTGGCAAAGTGGCTGAAGTGGTCAAAGTGCCTGCCTAGCAAGTGTGAGGCTGAGAGTTCAAATGACAGAGGAAACAACAACAAAAACTCAGTATTTTCAGAGGCCCAATAAAATATGTTGATTTCTTTCAGAATCTGAATTAAGATGTACATAGTTCAGGTTGGATTTTACTGATCGAATGAGAAAAAGTGTTTTAGTATTCATCTATTATAGAATAAGAGCCTCCAATGTCATGTGTGCTCAGATTCACGAAGTCTTGAGGTTCCTTCTGGAGTATTAAGTACAATTCACCACATCGTGGAATTGTGCCAAAAAGAGTATGCATAGTGAAATAAACCAGAATTTAAGAATTGTGTACTCTATGATTCCATTTGTAAATCTTAGGCAATGAAAACCAATGAACTGAGAATGAGGGGCACTTGCTGGGTGTTCACCCTACTGGCGGAACAGGAAGGTTTCTTGTCTCACTTCCTTATAGAACTGAAGCACTGTGTGAGCATCGAGGTTATCATAATGGGACTCACAAAAATAATCAACTTCATCTTCAGGCTGGAGCCCAGTAATGGTAAGTGTGGCTGAGTTACCAGAATTGGAGCCAGAGAAGCAATCAGGGATCACTGATGGTCGATTGCTATTACCATAGATGAGGAGCTTGGGGAAGCTTCGTTGCAGCTGTTAGAACCATTGCATAGCACAGCTACCAATGTTATTGCTGCTTCCAGCACAGGAGATGGTGACTTTCTGTCCACGGTTCCCAGACACTGAGGATGGCTATGTCAACACAGATTGTGCCCAGGATCCTGAAAGAAAGAAAATCAGATAGTAATTTGGGTCAATTCTGGAGGAAATAGCAGTGACCATGGTTTTTTCAGGCTCTACCCACAATGCATATCCAGTCACCTGAGCAGTTGGCAAGGAGGGTGATTAAAGTGGACAAGGTCATGATGGAGTTCTTCCGTGAGTCCTTCTGTGCCTCAAAGTTGGTCAGAGCTCCCTCAAGTCTTCCCCTTGCCCTTCTTCATTCTCTGATCATGGGGCATACCCACTTATGCAAATGTGGATTCTCTATCATTTGCTCATAGTCTGAGGCCATGATCTGAAAATATCACTGAGCTATGTAGGGGTGTGGTTGGATGGGCTTTGTTGTTGAGGGAATCAGTGTGTGAGCCCTGGGAGGATGACATAAGGCAGGGCCAGTTAGCTCATTCTAGATCTCATCACCCCAGGAAATTCAATAACAGTCTTCATGTGCTCTTTTGGGTCGGGGTCATGCAGTCTGCATTTCATAATGGTGATAAAGACCCTCAGAGGCAGTCCTGCATTCCTAATGTTCTCTTTATACATAGTAACTCAAACTTGCCTGTGGTGTCCCTCTGTAGACTCACTCTGACCTCAAACTTCTTCACTTTTTGCTATACACAGACTGCTCAGGAGAAAAATCTTTCCACAGCCAACTTAAATTCTCATTGGTCCTGACTGGCATGATGTGTCTTGGGCAAATTCCTTGCAGATCAGGATGGAGGAAACAAACATGGATATTTTGGAGTTAATAATAGGCAACATGGTATCTGCCAGTTTTTCTGAAATGCTGAAGGTTGATACAAAATTCTCCCACATTTACCATAAATACTATATTTTGAAATGATTTTTGAGCATGATTTACTGTTATTTGTATTCCCCATAATATATCAGAAGGGAAATATAATATTTTATACTGGTATGCTTATATTACCTAGTACTTTGTTTGTTTTTTATAATCTTCTCTACTTTATCTAATGAGATGAACCAAAGATCAACCTGCCTTATCTCCTAAGTCTGAAAATTGGACTACCATTAAGTTCACAGATTTTATCTTTTTTTGGATCCTGGAGTTTTTCCCAAGTCATAGTACATATTTTCATTTGTTAATTCTTAGATATTTTAGATACAAGATCTTTATTACAAATGCAGTATATATAAGTATTGGTGTTTTAAAATTACATGAACTTGAGAATGATATTTTAAAGTGTAAAGACTCTATGATTGAGTTTTTAACATATTACTCAATAATGAGAGAAGAACTTGGTGGAAATCTGTGGTGAACCCATTCCAGTGGAGTCAGGCAAGTCTGTTCAGGATTCACAACAGGTAGATTTATGCCCTAAGGGTGAGACACAGCTGACTGAGAGTCATGTGCACTAAAACCCTGCCCAACATTGGAAATCAGGAAATGACAGTGGCAACACTTCTCTGACCAAGACCTATGATGTGGATAATTCACTGCAGTGACCAGAAGTTGCCCTGAACTGCAGCTTTGTATAATTCAGAATAAAGTGTTTCCACATGAAGTGTGTGCCAAAATTAGGGATTCTTGCGCTTCTTCCATGTGTTTGTCCTCACCTGAGGAGAAAGGTAGAGAAGAAGAAACAAGAAATGTTGGGAAGTTTAACCACTGTTTCAGTTTCTTGAGAGATCTATTTCCTCTACTCTTCTGGAAATACAAGGCTTTCACAGCATTTTTTTTTCTGTTTATTCATCTTCTGAGGATATTGAATTTCAGATTGTGTTTTGAATGAGATGCAGTGTGGATTGTTTTTTGGGGTGATGTTGGTGTTGATCTCTCTTAGATAAATTACATGTCAAGTTAATACACTGAAGGGTTGTCTTTGAGCTTGATTTCTCACTTCTGTAATCCAGTTCCTCACCAGGTGGGAACAGAAGGATGGCAAATTTGGGGCTACCTCATGAAAAGACCCTGTCTCAAAACAAAATTCAAAAAAAGCCTGTGGTGTAGTTCAAGTGGTAGAGTGATTACATTTTTTGTATAAGGTCGTGTGTTCAATCCTAAACATATCAAACTGAGAAGACAAAACTTTCCAATTAAAAAAGGTAGGTATTTCTCTCTCAGCACACAAAATCAAGAAAAATGTCCAGTAGTGATTTATTAATATCAAGTTGATCATAATATATTCATGTTCTGATGCCAGAGAAAAATTAGAATCATGTAAAAGCTGTACATTTTCAATAATACTAATAATTTAAAAATTTTGAAGTGATTAATAATATATTTAGGTAAATTCAGAACAATTCCTTTTTTGACCTCTTAATCTATAAAGGTTAGAAATACTAGCCTAATGTGATCCCACTTGTGGACAAAATGTTGATAGAAATGTATATAAGTGCAGTGAAAGAGTTATACTGATTATATATTAGTTTCATAGTATGATTATAACCATGTATCACAAACTTGATGCTTATCAACACCAGAATGTGTCTTGTCATAGTTTTGGAGGCCAATTGTTCCAAATCCACTGGTAGGACCCTATTTTCTATGTCACCTCTAGGCAAATCCTTCATTCTTAATCCCAAATTCCCAATTTTTGACAGTAATCTCTGGTACTCCTTCCTGCACTTGCGTAAGTCCATTCTGTGTGTCCATTTTCACGTGAATTTCTTTCTCTGTTTTCTTATCTTCCAGAGTTTCTTCTTTATGAACTTATCAGCATGATGAGTGTTGAGGCCTCATTATTCCATTGCAGTCTAATCTTAGCTTATGATGTGTGGATAACACTGTGCAAATGGTTCCTTATCCTGTATAATGGGGGCTAGCATTTTAATATACCTTCCTAGGATGAAATCTTAACACACAACATTATGGAAGACATTCATTTCTAAAATTTTGTAATTTTTAGTAATTTCAAGTGGTATGACGCATATTTGCATGCAGATGTGTGAAATTAGAGCACTAGCTCCTACTGTGTGAAAAATAAAATCAAAATTGATCAAGGACCTAAATGTCAAACTGCAAACTTTGAAACTGCTACAGAAATGTATAGGGAAAGCCTTCCAAAATATAACCAGAGAAATGAATTCCTGTATATACTACCAAAAGCCAAGGAAATAGAGCAAGAATTGACATGTGTAATTATATCAGCTTACAAGACTTCTGCACAGCAAATAAACAATAAAGAAGGAGAAGGTTAATCCTGCAGAAAGGGAGGATATGTCAGCTAGATATTACGCATCAGGTTAATACCCAATATATAAGAGGAACTCAAATTAAAAATAATTCTATCAATAAATGGGCACATGAACTGAACAGACAATTCTGAAATGAAGATTGCAAATGCAGAAGAAACACATGAAAAAAACTTTTCAACATAGTTAGCCATCAGACAAATTTATTCCAAACAGCAATGTTATTTCACCTCACACCAATCAACATGGAAATCATCAAGAAATCAATCATCAAGAAAACAAATACCAAAGCAAGCTGGTGAGGATGTGGAAGGGGGAAATCTCACTTATTGCTTGTGAGAATTTGAATGAGGGGGAACACAGTGAAATTCACCACGGATGTTCTGCCAAAATTCAAAATAGGACTCTCGTATGACCCAGACATAGCACTTCTGGGTACATACATAACGTCAGTTTATGACAGAACTTTTCATAATAGCCAAAATATGGAATCAGCCTTGATGCCTATTAATGGGTGAATGAATAAGAAAATGTGGTCTGTGTATGCAGTTGGGTTTTACTCAGCCATTATAAAGAAAAATACCATTTGTTCAGAAACGGATAGAATTGGTTATCATCATGTTAGGTGAAATAAGCCCGTCCCACAAGGACAAATATCACATGCTTTCTCCAGTTTATGAATGTTAGTGGAAATCAAAAGCAAAAAGTAAACAAATCATAAAAATAAAACATAGACTAGGATAAAGATCAAAGGGAAAATGTTAGTAGAGAGGAAGTAAGGGAATTAGATCAATGGAGCGGTAAATATGATCAAAATACCTTGTAGACCTATATGAAAAAGCCACAATGGAAACCTCTGATATGTAGAATTAATACACACCAATGAAAAATAACAAAATTGGAAAGCAACTTTTACTATTTAATTGTATTATGTCAAAATTATTTTATTCTATTAAAATTGATATACTTTTTATTTTATTAAAATTCACCTAATAAAATGAGTTTTAGTGACATACAAAGGGAGATTCCTGAACTTTGCTGTTAGGTGGATGAAAGAATATTCCTGCATGCTGTTTTCTGGACAAACTGTGCTGACCTCAGTATTCCGATCTCATCCAACTATTAACCAATTTTATTGGTTACCAGACACTTCACTTAAGGACTCAAATGAACTAAATGTCGAGTCAGGACTTTGCTTTTACCTTTATGTGTATGGATAATCGATATTTAGCTTCCCGAGAGCACAGTATCTAGTCTGTTTATACCCAGGTTCAACCACACGCATGTTATGTCTTGACCACAAAATTACATAGATCACTGTGCTGAACTGCTGCAAAGTAGCAAACAATAGCAATCCATCTTGTGCTCAGGTTTGGCCACTGAGAGGTTTATGGTAGGTTTGTCCCCATGAAAGGAGGCAGAGAAGCCAGTGGCCATCCACAGGTGTATATGGCCTGTGTTATGAAGTGGTGTTCTGGGCACATGCCATTGATTTTTCTGACATAAGAATGGGTAGTGAAAATTGCTGAATACTCAGGTCCTGGAGCCTCAGTGAGAGTGACTGTTCCTCCTGAGGACATTGTCAGTGAATGCTCATCAGTCACCATGTCTGAGAACTGGATCTTGTTACCAAACTCAAAATGCTAGGAATGAAGAAGGAAGACAGAGGATATATCTAAAATTTCTATTACTCTGAATTGTAAGAAAGGAGAAAT